GAATACTAGTGTTGTGTATACTCTCCTGAAATGTCAAATGCATACATCACTAGTTGGTTTCTGGAAGCCATATCTGTGCGTCTAAGGTTATGGATTTTAATGCCATTTGAATTAATTTCCCATTGGATTAACATGGGATATTGGAGTCATTTGAACCAATTTTTCCTACGGATTAACATGGGATATTTGGGTCAATTAACCCTATGTTAAATCTATGTGAAAGGCAATTTTACCGGCATTAGCGTCAATAATGATGGGATGGGGGAGGTGGAAAAAGTAATTCTAGTATACGCTTTTTTCCCTTACGGAAAAGCGAATAATAATTACAATTCACATAGATTATCAAAGTATTTATTCAACAGTAATTATTTTATAAATAATATTAATTAACAATTGTTATTTAATTTACTAAGTACTCAAATATTTAAATATTAGTGATATATTTATAACATCTATTGATTGTTTTAATTTATAATTTTTTAGCAATATATTGTTTATTCCTTTGTTTTGTTATTAAATATACTTTTTACAATATAAATTATAATAAATATAATGTATATTATAAATTGTTTAATAGTATTAACAATATTTAATATAATTTATATTAATTAAGCATATTCATTGATTATTTATCCCTTGTTGCCATGTCATCATTACCTTTCACAATCTTATCACTACTACACCAACGCCTATCTTTTGAAGCCATTGTTTAAACACAAAAATTAAAAACAAATTTATATTTTCTTTTTAATTCATAAAAATGTCTTCAGTAATGAAAATATTTCGTATTTGTGACCAAATTAGTGATACGACAATAAAATCCATAAAATTATTGTACATTTTCTATGTTTATGGCAAACATAGTAACGGAAAAAATGTGTTATTCGTTACAAACGATGACTTAGTGTACGGTTTGGGCGATAACACCGAGGGCTGCCTAAGTCTGGGCAATAATAACCCGGTTTATACGCCACAATTGATCCCGGCTCTCTGCCAACAACATATCCAACAGTTTATAAGCGGCAAAAACTTTGTGCTGGCTATCAATGAGTCAAACCAAATATATAGCTGGGGCTGTAATATGTTGTGTCAATTGGCTAGGGAACCAAGGGGATTTTTTCAACTAATTGATTTAATCGACTACTTCGACGATAAAAATATAATCCAGGTTAGTATATTTATTTTAGCATTATTAATTCTTTTTATACTATTTTACCCTGTAATGTTAGAATTTATAGTAAAATATAATAAGTGTTTTATATTAATATTAATGTCATTAGTATATTTATTTTAATATTTATATTTAATGTAACCAGGTCAGTTGCGGTTATGAGCATTCGTTAGCCCTGTCCTTTGATGGCCAGGTGTACGGTTGGGGCAGTAATTTTGATGGACAGATAGGGTGTGGCGATAAGGGGGACGACAACACAATACTACCCATACAACTAAAATTGACCGGGGGACATTTGATTAAATATATTTATTGCCATTCTAACTGTTCATTCGCTATCACAATGGATGGCAGTGTATTAAGCTGGGGCTCCAATGAAAACTATCACCTTGGTCATATGATGACCCCTACCATACAATATAGACCTAAATTAATTCATCGGATAAATAATATTCAATCGATTGTGTGCTCACAGAATATGACATATTTTCTATCAAACACAGGTTATATATATTTTTGTGGCAATTATTACCAGGATAATAAAAAGTTCATAGAAAATATCCCTAAGCAAATTCAGCTTGGTGAGTCATTTGGACAGTTATCCCAAATTGCTTCGTATAATGAGTTTGATTTCATACCGGTTTTGAGAAACGAGAAAATATTCATTATTTTTAACAATAATTCAATGACTGAAACAAAATACACTAATTTCTGTGATTTCTACGCAAATGAATGCGAAATAAGTTATAATACTACTGAAAATAAACCGATTATTAAGTATGAAAACTACTATAAAAGCACATTCAGGGAACTGTCGCTCATAGGATCGGGAGGTTATGGACGTGTATTTAAATGTAAATACAGGTTTAATGATCAGAGATATGCCGTTAAATGTGTTGAACTTAAAGGTATTCATAAAATATTCTAATTATAATACTTTTAAAACTTGAAATTAATTTCTCGACAAATTAGATGACAAAGAGCTAGTAGTAAAAGAAGTGGAAAGCCTACTAAAAGTGCGGTCAGAATACGTGGCCGAGTATTACGATATATGGCAGGAAAGGGATGTTATTTACATTCAACTGGAGTTGTGTTCAGACAGTCTGACAAACATTTTGCGACTAAAACCACAAGTATTTTACCGCCAATTGGATGAACCGCTCAATACTTACGAGTATTTCATTTCATGTGAAATATTGCGTCAAATCTTAGAAAGCATTCAATACTTGCATGAATTGAATCCACAGGTCGTTCACCGGAACCTCAAACCCGACAACATATTGATCGCAAGGAATGTAAGGAACGGTAGATTTGTTAAGTTATGTGACTTCGGTTTGGTTACAGTTCACGACAAACGCATACTGTGTGGACAGTTAGATGTCGGGGAACTCCGATATATTGCACCGGAAGTATACAAGGGTCTAATATACGACTACCAGTGTGATATTTATAGCTTGGCAGTTATCGGGGCAGAATTATTTTCTATTGATTTAGCCCAGATAAATTCACCAAAGTGAGTTATATTTAATGTGTTTTAAATAGTTTTATAACATTTATATTACATTTAAATACAGACCACAAAAACTTATGAATAAAGCGTTAAACAAACCAATAATAAAATTGCAAAAACTATTGGAGTCTATGGTTAACACAAATTGGACTAAACGTGTGGAGAGTCGGCAAGTGTTGGCTAAACACCACAAGTGGTCTATCGATAAGAATATTCTGTTAAATGATACAGAATTTGAGTCCACATTACATAGACTACAGTCGTATGAAAATTCATGTTTCTATGAAATTTTTATAACTCTTTTACACAAATTATAAATATTAAATTTTGTATACTGTACTATTGTTAATTATATTTAATATACTAAATTATGTTATTGGTTTTTTAAATAGTCATGAATAGTTGCCTCAAATCATTAAATTTGTGACCGAAAATCAATATAATTTGTTGTGTTTGTAGTTGTAACAATTTAAATACAGCATTAAATACAATAGGTTTTATAAATATTATTTGAAATTGTTATTGTAGATTTATTGCTTTTATATAATATTATTAAAATGTGAATTAATTTGAAATGATAAAAGTAATACCAAGTACAGTAATAATAAAATTGTGTTATTATTGACTACGCTTCCCACAAACATATTCTGGATGTATATTGTAAATATAATATCTTATATTGACTTCTAAGTGTACTTTTAAAGTTATGTTTTTAAATAATTTTCTATAATAACCTAGAACCTAATAATAATAAAGCCAATAATAACCTAATGCAGTAACAGGTCGCCCGGATATCTGCCACTTGATAAACGCTTGCTTAGCTATATTGGCGTCGCAAATGAACACAATTGGCCATGGTCCTATCCATATAGTAATCACTGGCCCATAGGTTTTATGCAATTTGGCCGCTTCTAGGCTCAGGTGCTGTTTGTAATTTCGGAAAACTATTTAAGAAACTATTCGTTACAATATATTGTAGGAAATGATTTTAAAATGTACTCAAAATATTTCCAATTATTGGCAGCGGTAGTGGACCGGGCGGGTAGTTATTCAATGTGGTGCAAAAACGTGTCAAATAATAAACACAAATACCAAGTAATAATGCAATAATATTACCACAGCATAGGCTTCCAACAAGCACACTATTTTCAAAACTAAAGTATATGATCAATATTAATATAATAATAAATTATATTTGTTTATATTTTTATTTTGTTAATAATTTAATTTCTAGAATAATTTTTTTGTAATAATCAATTTGTATATTACCTGATTCCGATCATTGAGCTAAAGACTTACAATTAAAAATTATTTAACATATTTTTTAATTTAAAAATTCACAGATTTATTTAATGGTCACTAATTTTAATATGGTCAATATGTTTTTATTGTAATGAACATGAAATCAACAATAATTACACTATTTAATTATTATTTTAATTAATTAATATCAATGGTGTACTTAATATCAATAAAACCGTTAAATCAGATTATAAATGTTTTACAAAATATAAAATATTAATAAAAATACAAACATTAATTATGTAATTTATTCAAACAGTTTAGAAATAATTCAATTTTATATAAATATGGATAAACTCAATGATAAAGTAAGACCTTTGTCTTATAATTTTGTAGTATATTCTGATGTATCATCAAATGCATCATTTAATCGACAGTTTATATTATGATTTATATGATCATAATTATCAATACTATTGGAAATAGGTTTTAAATTATTGGGCACTAAATCGGAGTGTGATTTGGGCGGCAGTTGTCCGATAGTGCCTATCGGTGCTGATTCAACACCATTTCTATGATAATCCTGTTCCTCCTTAATATTAAATATAATTTTGTGTTAATTAATAGTACGGATATTAATTCATATAGCTTTTTGAAAACCTTTTGACAATAGTTTTCGTTATGAAGTCTCTGTAATCTTTCTACACGTTTGCGAACTAATGGGGTGTATAGTGTTGGGTCCATCTCTGCGATCAATATCTGGCCTAGTCATGGGACAGGTATTCATAAATATTGATACATTAACTAGAATTGTGTTCAATAAAATACATTTTCAACATTACCTGTAATTAGTGATATAATATAACCGGCCAATACTGTTGTGACAGATCCTATCACTCCGTAGTATACATACGATATTTGATATATTAGTGATATTTGTGAACTGTAATATTAATTTAACAAAATCAGTATTTTTATGATAAGTATGAGATGTAAAGATTCATACTTTTTATTCAAATCCAGTAAAGATGGTTGGCCAAAAAGTGTTTGATTATAGTTATTATGTGTGACATTTTCGTATAATTCTATACAACTTTCCACCGAAATGGGCTTTTTTGGTAGGTATGGCTTATAAATCATAGCCCCCACACCTACCCATAGTGAGCACCCAATACCTAATAAAGTGCCCCAAAAGGCCCCTTTGGAGTTGGCAGTGGGCACAAACATCCCTAAAATAAATAATCCAAACACTGGTGACCCCAAGAGTCCAAACAAAGCTGTAGTCGCTTGTAGTATATTTCCCATCTGTTGAGCCAATAATACCAAAGCAATGGACAGTAAGCCATAGAAAACGGCCACAACTTTGACGATAAGAGTGGCCGCAGAGTCGGACATCTTATACGACAGAAACGGACGAATAAAGTCCTGGAGAGTGACCGCAGACAGAGAGTTGATGCCCGAAGAGATTGTACTGAAAGTTGGGTCAAAAAATAATTTTAAAACTTATATAATATAAGTTATATCACTATATTTAGGAATACTAGAGTCTAGTAACTAGACAATAAATGTTGTTTTTATATTACAAACCTGAGTGAACCACTGAATATCCCTGCGATGAATAGCCCCACAAATCCGGGTATAAAACTGAACGATTGGATCACATATAAGGGGAACAACTGATCGAAACGCTCGATACGTTTGGTTGACATCGGATCACATGTACTATATTTGGCAAACACTATTAGCCCGGCCAAACAGGTCA